TTCTTTATCTCGGATATGGCGGCGGGTAGCCGCGATGCGTTGACGCTTAGATCGGTGGGCGAAGAGACCCATTCGACGTCCGGCCCGAAACGCATGCGCCCTGCTAGGTCGAGCGTGAGGTGCGTGCCTAGGCCGCCGGCGCCGGGCGCGGTTACGGGGTAGATTAGTCGGGTGACTTTGGGCGAGGAGCCGCTGTAGCTGAAGTAATTCCCCTTGGCGTAGTAGAGCCTCGTTTTCCGCTCAGGCGGGACGATTAAGTTGTGTATGTCGGCTGCGCCGAGTCCCGCGCTGTTGATCAGTATGTCGGTTGTGATACGCGATTCCTCGCCCGTTGATGAGTCTTGGACATTGAGGGCCCAGCCTCCGCTTCCGGGACGTGGGTTGGTGGTAGAGGACGTAGAGTGCAAAGGCTCTATACCGACGACGGTGGAGTTTAGAGCCGTCACGCCCCCGGCATCCTCAAATAGCCCGTGTAGCGCCGCCATCAGCGCGTGCGAGTCCACGATGCCGGTCTCCGGACTTTCCAGAATACCCGCAGTGGCCCTGACAGCTGGTTCCTTCTCCTTCGCCTCCTCGGCACCGACCCACCGTGTCGGCACGCCAATCTCATCTCTGCAAAGCGCATGTATACGCTCCAGCGTCTCATACTGCTGAGAATCCTGCGCAACGACCCATTTCCCCGTGCGCTTATGCGGAACCCCATTACGATCGCAAAAAGCGTAGAGGGCTTGCCGGCCTGAGACACAAAGGCGCGTTTTCAGGCTATTCGGCCCATAATATAGACCTGCGTGGATGACCTCGCTGTTGCGCGAGGAGGTCTCGGTGCCGACTTGCGGGTGTCGTTCTAGGAGCAGTGTGCTACTAGAAGGTTGGTGGCTAGCGAGGGCTCGCGCAATGGCGAGGCCGACGGCGCCGCCGCCTATGACCTGGGGTGGGCCTGTGAGTTGTCAAGGTCTGTGTATATGTGCACGTATACAAAATAGATATCTAAAGGTTGGTATTTATATAAATCTTTTGCCCAGCCAGATATCACCCACTCAGGATAAGCGTGAAAGGCCACTTACAACATGAGTAAAATCAGCTCTCGCAGCCGCCGTACCAGAGAACGACCTTGCCAAACATACTAACCCACCCGACTGTAATTGGCGTCGAGCCGTCCTGGCGAACATCTTCATTCAATAACGTTGAAGGTTTGCATGGAGAATGTCAAGGTGTCTTAGGTGAAGGTCGGTAACAATGATATCATAACTTAGCCTATATAAGACGATACCGGAGATCTTATCGACTTATCGGCTCGGAACGCTTTGCATTAGCGATTATTTCCCCATGCATGCCACTTTTGTATAACGCCGACTTAGGTAAATAAATCAACCATTCAACAAAACGAATTAAGGGGACAATAGTGGTAATGGATATTCAGTCTTGCATCTCGAAGTTGCTAAACTCGACTTGAGTTCGGAGGGAGAGCCAACGCCTCTAACGAGTAGAACATCCCCTATTCTAGGAGCAGAATTATATTATGAAACACTTAGTATTAGAAGAGTTGTCTCATTCGCGAGATCTTTTCAGTTTGCCCGTCGTGGTTCATATCGTTATACAGGTGAAATCGTGTTCCCTTGCTAAGGAAAAACAAGCATTTAGAGAGCTCTTCCGAATTCCTAAAGGTCACATTGCATTACAGAATCACTTGCTATTTTAACTCACGGCACATCATCCGAGTTGATTAATTCAGCACTAGCCTGCCTATCCTTACAATAATTGACGTGTTCCCTGTGATTCGCATCACAATGTTATCAGGCTCTATGAGCGGTGGGAAATTGTGCACTTGTCGTGGGCCCTGTTTAGAAGAATGAATTCGAACCCCTTAAAATGCGTCGAGTAATGCACGGAAACAACTGTAGTATGCCATGTTTCGTCAAGTCGTATCCCGCTCCCCTAGGTCCTTCTCACGAGCCCTTCCAGCAACGCCAACGCCAACGCCGAGAATTTTTGCCCAAAAACGGAAAGAAACCGACTTGTCTATTCATGACAAGTTAGACAACCAAACGCCTTAAGACCATATCTGACTTTTACAGATCAGAGTTCCAATTCACCTTATTCGACCTTAGGTGTTTCTGACACGGCAGCAGGCTGATCAGGGGTAGCGGATGTAGTAGCAGCAGACGATGAGCCTGCTGCACCTTCTTCCTCAGACACCGAGGTTGACTGCGTAAGTTGCGAATGATGCGTTGGCTCTCGTGGTAGACCCGTGGCAGCATGGGCCTCGCTCAATTGGCGTTCTATATACATGTAAGCAGGCTGCCATTAAAATATCAGATAATCATATCTTACCAAGCTCACGGATTCTGTGGCGCAACATCTGGTTCTCGCGAACCAAAGACTGAGTCTCGGCCTGATAGTAAGCGCTCTCATCACGAACCCCGGAAATAAGCGGCTCCCCACTCTCCGCCGCACTGATGGACATGGATCTCAATCTAGGAGACGGGGCGCCGCGGCTTGGTGTTCTCGATCTGCGGTGAAGGGCATCGCGAGCCATATCAAACGAAGAACGAGGATGTGACGACAAAACCGGCGAACGGGGTACCGAAGTGGATAACGCGGGGAACTGTGGTTGCGCAGCCGGATTCGGAAGAGTGACGGAGCTGGATCTCTCCGAAGTAGGAGTTGCATCTTCAGCAGCCACACTCGTTTGGCTCTGGCCTTGTGCTACTTGTATCTGTTGTAGTTGGATTTGCTGCTGGCGGATCATTTGTAAAAGTCGATTCTGCCATCAGTCCATGTTAGATAATGGAAGATCAAGTCGAACCGATGTAGCCTAACATACCACTTGTGCTTCTTGTTCTGCCTCGAGTTCTTGATGCAACTCTCCTAGACTGGGTGCTCTGTTGTGGTGAGGATCCCCCCCAGCGAGGAGAGGCGACGCGGTCATAGGCAGAGGGCTCATTGCTCCATATCCACTGTTCTCCGTAACCATTTCACCTGGGCCGGGAACAGAGGGATCGTTGAGTTGTAGGTTCATCAAGACCGTGGAGCGTCGTCGGCCCATCTGTGGTGACTGTCGGTTTCGTGAGAGGGAGCTACTCGATGAGCCTGTAGAAGAAGAAGTGTGTAAGTAGGTAGGCATGTTGTAATTAGGGTAACTCAAATTCGAGACTTACGTCGCATAGGTTCATGCTGGAGACCAGCATTCATAGTAGCAGCGGCTTGTAATGATGTAGATGCTCGGGGAGAAGGTGATGCCGATTCTCCACGAATGGCAGAGTCTCCGTTGCCGTTTGAAGAAGTCATAATGCGCGGGCGTGCAGATGGAGATGATGGAGGAAGCGAATTGAGGTCGGGAGCCATGTCAGCGGCGAGAAGGACGTTGACGTATGGAGTAGATAAGGAAGGTGGTTACTGTAGGTCAAGTGTCACATAAGGCGACCTACACTAGAGCTGTGGCCAAGCTAACTTACCCGTCAACCTCCAGCCAAACAACCTATGGTGATGCACCAGTTGAAGGGGAGGGGTGGAGATGAGGTTAGCGGGTTAGGTAAGGATATGGAGATGGATATGGAGATCGATACGGAGTATAGTATGCAGGTGGCGGGTCCGGAATTTTAATGATTGTCAAATAGGATTGGGATTTTAGAGGCGATCGTGGCATGAACGTCCGACCTGGGCACGACGCATACGTAGAATCAGGTAGCACCTCGTCAGCTCGCGGAGGCTGAAGCTGGGATCTTTCTGTGTCCAGGTGACAAGGAAGTCGAACGATGTTGTATACCTATGTTTTCTTCCAGAGCCGTGACCAAAAAGTTCCAATAGCACCGGTTCGACTCTGGAAAGGACAGTGGTTATGCAGGTAGGCTGTTGATCTCGTGGGGGAAGTAAAGCTACCTTCCCCCTTGACGTCAGTTGATGGGGATCAAAATGCTTGCTGGGAACGTGACCCCAGTACGAACCTTATTAGGTAATCAACACAAGGTTCCAAGTTATTTATTGCGGCTATGTCCCTCCCGGGCTGCCTGGGCCGCGCTTAACCATCAACCCATTCCAGTGTCAACGAGACATCACATGTTAATCAACCAAGCCTAGCACTTACGACACTTGCATTCCTACGAATTCCTGTATCAAGTCCTATTCAACTAATCCTAACTTAACCTATCGGGGATTCTCCTTTCAACGCCTCGTATTACCCATGTGCGCTCGTTCATGCGGTTGGATATATTTTACTATATTGGTCTGGCCACAATGCACATTGGTCACAAGGCCCATGAATGGAGTTTCCGCCAATGGATGCAAGCTAACTTAAGATAGGACCCTTAAGGTTACGTGCCGTTGTAACATCATGCAAGGACAAACATTTGCAGGCTGAAGTCTTTATCGAACCTTGTACTCATATCTGGTGCCTGTGCCCTTACATGAGCCTCTGAGCATCGCGATACAGTCGATTCCTATACAGTTATAGTAGATTTGTGGTGTTCAGCCCATCAACGTAACATCACCCAACATTATTACATGTGACAGGCTGCTTCACTGTGTGCACTCAGCTCATGCTCTCCAACTTTACCTCGGTGATAAACTTAGGAAGTCATATTTGCGATTCTGCTACAGTAGGTAAACTTAATATTAGTTGAGATGACTTCATCTTTGTTTCACATTCAACACTAACATTATTAACATTTAACACTCGGTTCATATTATCTTCTCAGAAATAATCAATCACCTAGGTAGAATATCGGGCTTTACATGTCAGAGGAGCTTAATCCTTACTAAGTCTCAATCAAACATTGCCCTAATTGCACGCTTCTCTGGTCGTTCCCTTTGTATGGTTTCCGCGATAAAGCGCCCCACTGCTCAATGAATTAATGAGTCAAGCCTACCTCTACCTAGTACTACATCGGTTCTAGGACCACGATTCCATACAATACTATCACCAGCCGGGACCCTATAGCAAGCTGGCCTTATAAAACTTTTCTACAAGGTGGATGTCAACCGGTTCATCCGGCGAGCAAACGGCCCGGTTAGCTCAATCGGTAGAGGCAAGTCACCCACATCCGACTCCATTCATACAAACATCGTATACTAACCTCCTCGGCAGCGTGAGACTCTTAAACCATAAGAGATCAATCTCAAGGTTGCGGGTTCGACCCCCGCATCGGGCTCAATTCCTGATGCTTCCCAGTCAACTGGGATTTGCAACCCTTCATTTTTTTTTGCTAATTTTTTTTTACACGATCATAGTAGGAAGATCGCTTAGGGTTAGGGTTAACCAAAAGTCACTCTATCTAGTACGAACTTCAGATATTAATCTCCAGACAGTAGAAGTGAGCACAATATTCCGGCAAAAAGATGTTCGACTTGCCTACGTCTACCTAGAAGCTGGTGGGAAACGTAATATGAGACCTCAGATCTGGTCTAGCCCTCTATCTCATTGCGAGTCCGGACAAGTGTAATAGAGATCATGTAAGTCTCCCGAATCATGTCAATATCCTAGGCATCTCTTTCAACGCGGCGAGTAGAGATTGCTCCTTACAGAAGCAAACATTTAGAACCTAGATTGTCACATCGTGTTCAACTTTAGAGGTTGTGATTTCTCCAAAAGTACCTCTTGCAGTTGCCAAGCTCTACTTTTGTCTTTACTACTAGCATCTCACTACTAAGCTACTCCTCAGTCTGCTCAGGTGATCTTGAGTGCCGAAACATACATGACATAAAGATCCCGAGCGTACATCCGTGGTATAGCCATCGATTTCGTAATCCTACGAATTAGAGGGGCCGAGTTACATCTACCGCTCCGCGACAGCAGCGGATCTAAATGTTTCGGGAAGAACGCAGAAGTTGCAGACATTGGCGGTCGGACTTAGCAGCAATGTTCAATATTGATGATCGTGGCTTCTAGTTGCCAAGATTATTTACAAGAAGGCCGCGACTACGAAGGTGGATCGGATTCGGCATCGGATTCAAGGGGACATTCATCCAAACTCCAGTCTAACGGCAATGGGTCTATGATGAAGGTACAGAAGATGGATGCTCTCTTTCTCCTTGAAGTTTCAAGATGAATCAAATGCTTACGGATGTGTGGTGTGGGACGCTAGTCGGCGTATGAAAATTTTTGATTTTACTGCTGCCGAACGCCTCGGTTCAAGTGGGTATCAGTATCAGAGAATGGAAAGCGGGTGCCTCTCCACCTCGGCGACCCTCACGTAGGCTCCATTCGGGAATGGATAGCAATGAAAATGTGAAAATTGCTGGAAGTTATGGTCCGGACATGCGTAATACCATTACTCCGCCCAGAGAATGCGGTTGACTGCGGGCTTACGGAGGGTCGTATCCAAGGGGTTTAAGACCTAACTCCTAGCTCTACGCGTGGGCATAAGTAGTACAGGTCGGCGACCTGGGAAACTTGGAGAGAAAAGCAACTATTCACATATACCACCTTCTCGAAAACCCGGCAGAGAGCTGGTTGAAGAAAATATGTGACTGGGGTGCAGGTCCGTTCTGATCAGCATTGCAGCCAGATAAATGCATCTCCTGCGTTCTGCCACCGGTTTTGGGGACCGTCCGCCTTTGATTCGTGCGTCCCTATGGACTCATTCCCGTTTTTATGCACATAAGGCTCCGAGGCGTTCCTCAAGGCCACATTTGCGGCCGCTCTTTATCGAATTTCATGAGCGTTCTTTTTGCTGCTGGCAGATCGTTGGTCACTGCCACATGCGGACCCGGTGGTTCGGCTACGGTAGATGAATAGTCCCATTCCGCGTTCCTAACGCGTGGCGGCCCTGCTGATAATTACCACCCCCTGTAACGAGCAGCAGGATTCCACCCCCTCGCTCGCTTGATGCTGGCGACATCCATACTGTGGGAACCCTAAGCTCGGGTCAGCAGCCACCGGAATAGCTGCAGGAAAGTTCTAGTAGTTGGTTGGGTACCAAGGAAAACCAAAATGCCGTCGTAAAGGATTTTAAGGGGGGTGTTGGAAGCGCATATCGTGTCCAATTCCAGAAATCCCTACGGAATATACCGCGTCCACTTAGCGTTGCCGGTTGCGCGTCGGATTGAAAGATTTGCAAGAGCGGTGTTCAGCTGAAGTAGCACCTATAATATAGCTCATTAGTTAATCCGGTGCGTGTAAAATGATCGCGTCTTTTCTTCAGCATGTTGGCGGGATATAAACAATTGTCATCTTATATATGACAGAGATATATCATATTTGACGAATTCTTAGACTCCTTCCCGGATCTGACGGGCGCTCAAACGGTGTCCTAGATTGGTAGGAGAATTAGCGGCAGAGAAGAATTCCTGAAGTCTCAGCCAACCCAGCCAACGTGGAAGATCCCGGTTCCCCGGCCCGCTACTGCAGGAACTTTCAGGGCGGAACTACTACGTAGAGCGCGTCGCCGCCACGAAGGATCGGATGTGGGTGGTTTGCTGTAGTAGCTATCCCTAGCTTTGCCCTAGCTATGCCTACCTGAGCCTAGCTGATGGAGACGGGGAAAATATGAGGCTTTAGACCAGTTGGAAGCAATATTTTACGTCTTGATATCTTGTGTCGAAATGGGGCTTATGAGGTAATAGAGGCTTCCCTACTAGCTGTTAGCCATCCGACTCTTCCGCTAGTTTCTATAGCATCTTCCCAAGTGCCGGGACCAGCACGCTCTAGATTTCCCGTACATCTGGATACATGCCTTGTGTTGCACCTTACGCAAGATAGAATCTTGAAGTTCAATACAGAAAAAAAGTCGTTCGAGGATACGAACGAATGGGGGAATGGAGCACAAGAATCGTATTCTCAAATTGGAATCGTGCGGGACGAGAATGGAATGTCAGCTGAGCTGAGAACATCGATATGCACAACATGCAACTGTCCATTCCCGTGTCGCCATCGTACGGCAGAGCTCAAGAGAAAACGTGCAAGATAGCAAACATCACACCAACTCAAAAATGACAATGTCTATCTTGTCTTCTGGGGTTGAGGCTGTTAAAATCTGGATATTGGATCACGAGCCAATCTGGCACACTGCATACTCTATCCGGATAGAAGCTGTCAAAGCGCACAAACCCTGGCCAGCTTGCCATTGACATTTCCATAGCCAAGGGTACGGGCTAATATTGGGAAGTGATCAGCGCAGAAAAGGCATAGCGCTGCTGTTTCTGCAGTCCATCACATATGTGACTTGGACCGTACCATATCGATATTTGAGAATGTTATGTAACGAAGAGGGGGATTCCTTATGAATCTGCAGAGCATCCCGAAGCACGGATGGTTGGACAGTCTGACGCACAGTCGCTGCGTGTTTCCGGAATGCAGATGAGATATGCATCTTGCGCATACATACGAAGTATTGCAAGTTTGTCAGATCGATATTCTCCCGAGATGTTCGCTACGTATTGCCTGTGGTTCCTGATCTCGATAGCTTGATGATCAATGGGACTCGCCTTACGAACTATCGAGCTCTAGTATTAGATCATTATCAATGCTTAGCAACGATCAGACGTCTACATAGTTCGCATTTATCGGCATTTGTAGAAATTACGTAGTACCGAACATTTTACTCTACCGGGACGATTGAGGGGGAATGAACGTGCGTTAGCCCTCGAGAATGCAACATTGAAGTCCTCTCCACTTGGGAAAGGGAAAGACGAGAACCCTTGGCATTCGCATGCGGTGACGATAGGCTCCCCGCTGCTACTGGACTGTCAACCCAGTAGCCTGCAGGCTGCAGCACCCCCAAACAATACTTCGCGGCTCACGAATGAGATCACATCGTGGCACGTCGTTGATTCGCTGTGTCGGCCAGGGGTGCTCGCGGGCGCGTTTCTTCTCACAGGTTCAAAACAACATTGGAAACCACGGGGATGCACGCAACGTGACAAACTTCGCTGACGGGAAAATTCACGTCGACAATTATTGGCTATACTGAGCCATACTTGCAGGACGCCGAAGCTTGAGGCAGCATCTCTTGTCGCTACATTCCAAAGCGAGGCGGGAATTTTCGTCTTTCTTTCCGAATAAACTCCTAGAATTCTCCAACTGGCTTACGATCTGGCCGTTTTGGGGGTAGGAGGAAGGCGTCAGACAAGACGTAAGAACGTATGGTGTCTGGCGTTCAGGGCGGCAGTGGTCTGTTCGGGTTGTCCCTTATTCCCTGCATATGGCTATCTGCTGTGCACCGCGCCTATCTGTGATTGCTATTGCCTAGTCGATCGCATGCCAAAATCCGGCAGGATCAGGACCATCTTTTGTAGACTGGAGCAATTCCATACTTGTCAAGATGGCGGTTTTGAAGAGAGACAATGGAGACGCTCGTGATAGAGTACCTAGGCATCATTGCGGGCTCTAGCCGGAGACCGCCTTATACGATACTACCGCAGTACAATAGATCCGGGGATAAAATAACTATCGAAAATAGGTATTCCAAAAGTACCGTAGCAGCTTTCGCTAGTCCCACACCAAGCCGCACGGTCAATGGGCCGGCGCCCTGGCAGCCTGGAAGAAGATCCCTGACCGGGATACAATACCCTTTCCTGCCTTTCCCCTTGCCGTCAACATCCAAACCCACTTCGTAAGTTTTGAGCAGGGATTCTTTCGCGAATCCCAGCCCAGCCAAGCTCGATTTCTTCCCAATTTGCTCACGACCGTGTGCTGGGGAAACGTCTTACTCGGGGCTTGCATGTCTGCAAGTTGGTGTCTGTCCTCTGCCCCAGCCCTTCCTCATCGGGGTCTCAGCCCGCGAGGAAACATGAGACCGTGGACCAGAACTTCGACCTGCATGCCTAACACCTTTTTATACTAGTACCCAGCATCAGGCCGTCTGCCGGTGGCTCAGAGGGACTTGTAAGTCCTAATTTTATCCTTCTAAAACTCTATCCTCCCGCCTCGCGGTCTCAGAGTTTAGTTTTCACTTTCTTTTGCCTGGACTCCACCTCTAATACTCATCTCAAGGCATCCTCCTCTTATTAGTCTGGAGCTATCTAGTACTAATCGACCCGGTTGTATAGTTGCGCCGGGAGTTAGGGCTGTCTGCCGAATTGGAAGTCTAAGGGACGATCTACGCTTTCAACTTCACAACACAGGGTTGCCTTGCCTTCGTCATCACAGGCCCCTCGCTTTCCCCTCAGGATCTCGGCTCTTTTTTTACTGATACGTTGGGGTTGGCGCCTT